TGCCCGTACCTGTGCTCCCCCTCCATCCTCACCTGGCCGTACCTGTGCTCCCCTCACCTGGCCGTACCTGTGCTCCCCACTCTCACCTGGCCGTACCTGTGCTCCCCTCACCTGGCCGTACCTGTGCTCCCCACTCTCACCTGGCCGTACCTGTGCCCCCCGCGCCCTCTGGCGGTCGGGGCGCGCCAGCGCAGCCGCTCCGGGTCAGCCGAGCTCGGGCCCCGCGGCCGCACCTTCAGCACAACCGGGAGAGGGAAAGGAAACGGAGGCAGAGGCAGATCCTGCATTAGGCAGAGCGGTTCTACATGGAAGGAACCCAGAGAACCCCCGGCAAACGCGGGTTTGAAGTTACCAGAGGCTTCCACTGATCTGTGCGAGGCCACTACAGCAGGAACAGAAATACGGGAGTACCTCGAAAGCAGGTTATTGGTTAAAACAGCCCAAAGAGCTCCCCGCCACATGGAATTGCTCCCTGCTGACCCCAGGATAACTGCACTGCCCCTGCACCCCGAGAGGCGCCTCGCTGTGCTCGGCATCCACGGGAAACAGCACCGGGTCACTCCAGAGCTCACGGCCAGACCTTGACTTGTGGCCTTCCAGCACTGTGTCAGCTTTCAGCTCTGCTTCCAGAGCTCTGCAGGAACTTGGGAAAGCAGTGTCTGAGCAAAAAGAATTCCTCATAGCAAGGGATACTTGAAGTTTGCTGCCATCCAATCTGTAACTTAAAAACAAATAAACCAACATTCTTTTCATTTGCCTTTTCATATCATTCTCACATTCTTCAGCAGGTTTTTCTCCATCCATTTTCCATGCACCATCCTTTAATCCATAAAGGACATTGAGAAGATTCACATCAATAATGGGATCTGCAGTTCTGGGAATAGAGGAAGTGAGTTCATGTGATGCTGATTTACACTCTTCATTATCCTCTAAAACTTGCATAAACTTGCATCAGTGATGAACTTTCTTTTTCTCATCAGTTCCCAGGAGAACTGCAATAGCAGTGAGGTGAGGAGTCCCAGTTCATCCACTGTGTTGGTTTCTTTGGTTCTTAGTTGAGGCAGAAGATATTTAACCACAACAGAACAACTTCATTTCTTCTTGGCACTCGCTCGGCAAAAGGGGGCTGACAGCACAGAACTCTGATCCAGGGGGGAGCAAGAAGGGACTCAGACTATCCCTCATTCAGATTGTCTTTTTAAAACTCTATTTCTCCTTTCATTTGACATTAATCAGGAAAAGCTGCCTGCTGTAAGCAGACATTGCCCACATGAGACTCAGGGAACCACTACCTGACTCTGCAGGGGAGCAGCCACAGGAGGAGCTGGGGAGCACCCTCCTGTCTGCAGGACATTCCATACTGCTGGAATGCCAGAGACAGTCACAGCTGAGATGTCCACTAGAGAAAAGAGGGAATGCAAGAATTCCTGAGCAAACCCCTGCCACGCTGCCTCCCAGTTGGGTAAGGAGTCATCGGGGTGAGTTCACAACCATTCCTCCAAATATGTGGAGGCCCAGGGAGTAGATCCCTGCCACAGCACACTGCTGAAGTACAGCACATCACACACTTGGGCACAGACATTACCTGTGTCCATCAACCCCAAATCCATGGCACTGCTGAAGGCACCCCTGGGAGGAAGGGTGTCCTTGCCCTTGGGAAGTGACCTGTATTTTGGAGTTCCTCCCAGGGGCACATTCAGTCACACACACACGGTCCCACACTCAGCACTCCCAGCACAAAGAAGGTTCCTCTTGTCCTTACACTGGATTGTGCCCATGCAGAGCAAAGCAGAGACCCCCAGAGAGACGTGTACAACTGCTGCAGGGCAAGGGCCTCAGCTGGGACTGAGCCAGCAACTGTCCCATCACACCCTGGCTGTTCCCAGGAACTCTGAGCTGGCTCTACCTGGGCCACAGCTCCCAAATTTCCCACTCCTCATGAACACATGAAAAGCAGAAAGCAGAAGACAGACAACTCTTAAATTCATTTAAACCAAGGCAGATCAGATGCCCCGTGGAAACCTTCCCTGCACAGCAGTCCCTGATGGCACTGATGTATTGGTATCAACACTGATTTTACTGGCATCATTTCTTGCAGCAAATGTAAATAAAAAGTTATGGACTGTATTCCTACATGGCTGTGGGAGGTCATCAAAATCTCTTCTGATAGAGCCTGTTTGCCCGTTTTCTGTGAAATGCATTGCTCCCAACTCCCCCTGACAGTCTTTATTATGCCAAACTTCACAAAGCCCTCAGTGGGACAGAGCAGAGCTCACACATCCAAACTCTGAGGCTGTGGAGAGCATCAGTGACATTCTCTCAGTTACCAACAGATGCTTTGTTAATAAAACTTGCATATACAAATGTCCACGAAATGTCTTAACCAGATCAGTTGTGACAGCTAAAGATAACAGCTGCCATCGTGCTGTGTCGTATCAAATCACTGCACAGAGCCCCTCTTCCACGTTGTCAACTCCAGAACGTTGACTACAGACAAACACAGTTATCTGCAGAGCAACTCCAAGTGCAAGAGATTTTGCACCACTCGTGCAGAAGAGCAGTGACTTTGAGGGCCAGATAGGAAAACAATTTGGAACAGCTGGAAATGATAATTGCAGTGGAACAGCAAAGCCAAACCCTGCTCCTGGAGTCAGCCAGAAGCCAAAGCACAGACCTACCTTAAGATACAGAAGCAGCTCTTGGCCCCAGAAGACAAGCGACAGAATCCAAACCTCTGCTTGCTGTCAATGTCTGTGAGCACAAATGTGAAGTTCTGCCCCACTTGGTTAACTGCATGGCTGGAACAGAGAGCAACAGGGAGTTAATGCTGAGCTAACTCTGTCAAGCAGCAAGTCATTGAACCTGTAACATTTCCTCTTTCAGCAGAGTTCTGTTGAGAAATTAACTTTGAGAGCATGCACCCCCTAGAACCTTAAACGTGCTCCTTGTTTGATGAGGGACGAGGGGGAGGGGTTGTGGTTTGGGGATTTTTTCCATTTTTTAAGTGTGGGAGGAAACTAAAAATGCTAAATTTATCTTTAAATGAAAATTACTCTGACTATCAACCATCTTCCACCAAGGGCACACGGTACAAACCAACCCCACATTCTCTCAATATGACCCAAAATATTTCTAATTACATGAAATCAACATTTATTTCAGGTTATGTTCTAGGGCTTTTTAGGTTTACTGAGAACTGAGAAAAATGACTTACACCGACATGTGCAGCTTTACAAGTCACTTCTACCAACTGCAACAAATATCCCATTAAATTCAAAGCCATTTAACTACCAGCCTCAGAATATTCTCTTCTGTGATGTCATATACAATGCAATAAACAATTTCTATGGGAGATTATACACTCAGTGCCAGGAGGAAACAAAAGAAAAACAGACTTTCTGAAGTAAAAGTTGGATCCAGATGGGAAAGATGTCGTTGTCCAGCTTAGAAAAATCCTTCAGTGGATTCCAAACAAGGAAGGGAAAACATGCAGTGATGAAGATGGACAGAAAGACAGATGTTTAAAGCATCTCAGTAGTCTGAAAATTAGCCAGTGGAAGTACAATCATCCTCCTGAAATCTAAATGTCAGCAGAGCAACCACTTCCATAAACCACACTGAGCTGCTGGGGATACCCAAAAATCCCTCACCGGTGGTGTGTTTTATCTGTAAAGCTTGGATGTAATGTTACTATGGTGATTTTAGTATGCTGTTTTAAAAGGGGATTATATGCTTAATTTTAACAAGGTTGAGAGCAGAGTGTGTGTGAGAAATAGCACTTGAGCTGACAATTAAAATTATGGAACGGGGGAAACCATGTTTCATTACAGCAGGGAGAAGCTTGTTTATTAAACAACTGTGACGAGCTGGGGAGTTCCTCCAGAGCAAACCTAAAGAGTCCTGCATGGATGTGATCTGCAGAAACCAAATCTGGTCCCCAGGTCCTGCCCAAGTGTCGGTGCCAGTTCTTCACAGGAAGGATAAACCTCCCAACGTGCACAGTGCCCTCCTCAGATCTGAATATCAACCCCTGGGACTCACAGCTCTGCTTCCAAACGGGCAGGAGGCCCACTCAGAGCCTCACGGGCTGGAAGCACCATCAATCTCCTCTCTGACTGGGCAGACACCAGTTAGGGCTGGAGGGAAGGGGACAGAGGAACAGGGATGTCTTTCCATGCCCCCTCTCCAGCTCTGTGTGACCAACACAGTCCTGGCAGGAGTGAGACTCAGGGGCAGCTCTGCCCTCCTGCAGCTGGGGAAGAGCCTCTGCCTTGATCCTGCCACCAAGGGAGCAGAAAACTCCTGCTCCAGTGCCTAAAGGAATGGGCAACAAGGCCCTGGGGATTGCTGCCCACTGGCCTCAACAGACACAAAGAGAATCCCCATGAAAGCAGTGAAGTGTCTGTGCCCTGAGAGCCAAAACCTCCAGGGCCAACACTGGGCACTTGTACAGCCAGAAGAGCAGGAGCTGCCACAACCTTCACTTGGGGTGTCCTCTACCTTCTGCAGCACTGGAAGTCCACCCTTAATTTGAAATTATTAAGTATGTTATGGGTTACAATCTCTCCTTTACGTTCAAGGAGTTGGCTTACAGTCTTTCAGTGACAGTCTGTGATACTCAGACAAACAAGTGGATCCAGAAATGGGAATCACTTTTCATTATGTTCTCATTTGCACCCCATATGGGTTTTCAGTGTTCTTATCTTTCAAAATGTTATATTGCTGAGGAAAACCAAAAACAACAGAACAAACAAAACCCCTAGGTACAATAAATCTACACACAGGAAGCATAAATATTTCTAGTAGAAACATATACATGAGAAAAATATATATGAGTATTTCCCTGCTCCCTCCCCTTAGGAGAGGAAAGAGATGAGCAGCAAAAGAGTGATTCCAAATTCTAAAATGAGACAAACATTTCCAGCAGTCTAATCACAGTCCAGGTCAATTTGCTCAACCCAAACCACTCAGTGTCTCAGCTGACAAAGGAAAGGCATTCTGCCCAATTAAGTGATGCTCAGGATGATGTGAGCACTGGTGCATCCTTGCAAAATTTCAATTCTCGTTCCTTTCATGAAACCACCAAAAATAACTCACAGTAAAAGGAAAACTACAGAACTTGTAGAGTTTTCCAAATTACAACAATTTAATATTCTCAGATCTGACACTCACTGTACGATCTCACCCCCAAAGTACCAGCACTCCAGCAGGAGCACGAGGCCTTTAAATGCAAAGCATTTAATTCACTGCTCCACCCAAATTTTGGCAATGAAGAAATGAAACACATGAGCACACAAAGCTTTGATATTAATATGCACATTTGACAATTGCTACCCAAGCATTCTCAGTAGAAGTAACAGCAAACACCCTCATAGTGCTGCCACTGAACAAATCCAACTTTTAAAACTTCTTTTTTTTTTTTTGATGGTGCCCATAAAAACCCCAGGAAAAAGTGATTCTAGGACCATAATTTGCACTCAGGTGCTCTGAGTCCCAGTCACACAGACAGAGCATTATGAATGGAATGGTTTTTATTTTCTACAGGGGTTTTATTGACAAGCTTATTTTCTTGTAAAGTTTGAAAAGCTAACAATACCTGTCCACATAGAAGGGGAAACAAAACTTGGTCAAAGTCTGTAGAACTTCCTGTGGAGAGAAAAAAAAGAGATAATTTATACATCTACTGGGACCAATAAATCTAATATTAACCACATCACACAATTTCACAACTTTGCCCTGAAGAAACAAGAGACAGATGAAGAAATATGGGCTTTATCAATTACATGGAAGGAGTATCAGGCAGTCAATCATGTGAAATAATAAACATGATCAAACTTCATTAAAAATGAAAAATTAATCAAGATTCACACATGGGCAGGCAGCAGGAGCCATCCAGCAATTCTCCAAAGAGGAGGAGGAGGTTGGGTTGTTGAGTGTTAACACCTCTCTGGGGACAATCCCTGCCCTGACCATATGGATCGGAGTGAATAACACCAAACCACATGGGCCTGGCCTGGCAGGACCACTTCTGCTGGCACAGCTTTTGACTGTTACCTAGGAACAGAGGTCTGGGGATTAGAGAACACTTCCTAACATCAGCAAGATAAATAACAAAAGGAGAAGCCAATAGGTCTCATAGCAGGAATGTTTAACGCTCCCTACTGCTATTAAAAAGAAAATCTGAGCGTTGAAACACTGGCTAAAATAATGTGTATTAAAATTAATACAGATTTTTAAACCCACAAACCATTTTCTACAAGTTGCAAAACAGCACCACAAACGGGGAAACCTTTAAGCACAGCCTTTGCAGGAGAGCAAAGAAAAGGATGAATATGAAAAGTGAAAACACAATCGGCAGATAAATTAATAATTTTCAATTTTACAACATTAAACAGAGACAATCACTAAAGAGGCAAACCCAGAAATGTTAGTCCCAAAACAGTTGTGTTCATAGACAAAAGCAATCCATTAGATCATTCTATAATATCCAAAATTTGAATTCTGCAACCCACAACCCCCCATTAAAGGTCTCCCAGTTTGCAGATCTTTCCTACAGCCAATTCATTGCTCATTCTCCTTCACACTTAAATATTTCAGGCCCTGAAGTGTAAATTCTATTTCTGCTTTCAGCTAAACAGGATAACCCTGAACAAACAACAACCCCCCTAATAAATTCAACCCTTTTCTGACCAGCAGCAATAAATTATCATCAATGACTAAATAGATGCTTCTCGCTTCATTTATTTCTAAACCAAACGCCACCGTTCCCAAATAAACTCCATCAATCTAATCACCCCTTCAGTGAAGCACAAAACATATTGACTCCCTTGCAGGAACATGTTCCTCCTGCATAATTCACAGCAGCACAGCCCAGCCTTAGCCCTGGTTTCAGGCTCAACTCCTCACTCTCTTCTTTGGAGGTTTCTTGACAACTAAAATGTGGCAAGTTCTGAAGGTTTCAGGCAGAAACAGATATGGAAACTTTGACTTCTTGACAGTTTATTGATAGATTATTTAACAACCTCCTGTTTTTAAAGAACAAGAAAGGGTCTATTGAAGAAAGCCGTGTAGAGCAAAGGCGTCCCCTGCTTTGAATCGCACGGCAAACTTGGGCAGGAGTTATGTAGATTCAGAGGAAACTCTGCAGAAACCTGGATTTCGACCCAAAACAATGCCTTGATAGCCAAGGTGTCATTAATGAGAGTGGGCTCCCCCACTGCAGAACCTCACTGCCTTCCCCAGGCTGAACAACTCCAACTGCTCACCCACAAAACCTGCCCCCTGACCAATTGTAACCCCTGCACAGTTGCCCTTCAGCACAGCTGAAATCTCACTGGGCAAAGCACTAAAAAACAAACAAAAAACCCTCAAAAGAATACTATGATCATCAAAATTATAACTGCAGGAGAGCAAAGTGCCTATATTTTTATTGTCCTCAAAATAATGACTGTGTATCTATTTTTTTAGAAACAAATCGTGTAGATGCATCAAATTCTGAAATAAAACAGCGTCAAAAGGTAACGAGCTATCAGTCACCTCAAAACGGCAGAATACATTCTCTCTGTTATTTTGATGATCTACATAATTCCTGTAACTGCAAGCAAACCCATTCCCACAATAAAACATCCAGCATCTCATCAGCACTGTGTTATTGGAGCAGTGCAAGACTTAAAACTTACTTTGCACTTGTTTCTTGATATTTGCAGTTTACTAAACACAGCAAATGAAATTTTCCCTTAAAGAGGCAATATATTGAATATACTGGATCTTTACCACTCTACACTGCCTTCTCTTTTAAAGAAAGGTTTTACAGTGACATTATTATCTGGCTTTTGTAATGTCATTGGACATAATCTGCCATTCATTAGACACCGACACTTATCTGCCTGGATTCACAGCTAAAAAAATTGAGACTGGCACAGGTTAACCACAGGCTTATTTTTAAATTGTAACTCTTTTAAAAAATTTAAAACTCATATGCAGAATTAGTTTTTAATTAGCAAAACTGCTGATGTTCTGGATGTAAGAAGTACAATTACTGGGGAACTATCCCGTTTTTGCTCAAGCTGCAAGCTCATTACTCTAAATATAATGCTGCTTTTTTTCTTTTTAATTCTTTAAATACCCCTCAGTTTGAAAGATAAGCAATACCTACATCATACACAACTTCCCACCCGACCTCTTTAGGTGGGTGGTTACTTATGACCTAGAAAAACCACCATTTCTTTATGATTTCCAACAAAACCCACCACAAGCCCAAACCCAGAATTGCTCCATGTCAGCACCTTATAATCTCTTTTATGTTTTCTTTACCCAGCACAAAACACAGAGGAAGCATCAACAGCCTGTTTTCTTATTTTATTCCCTCATGCCTATTTTCTTAAAGAAACACAAATGCCTGTAAATGAACCCCCCCAAGAAGAAGAAGAGAAGCCCCCAACAATCCAGGCCGGGCAGCTGACGGGTGTGGAACCCCGGGAGCCCCAGCCGGGTCCCCAGGGCACACCTGCCAGGCTTGGGGATCGATCCCCAAGGTTATCCTTTGCCCCATCCTTTTCCCTGCAGTTGGATCTGGCCCATTTAATGAGCAGCAATGCCTCCCCAGCAGGCAGTGCCCGCAGTTGAGGGCAGGGCAGAGCCGTGTCCCAGGGGATGGCTCAGGGCTGCAGGACAGGCACCACCTGGCTCCCCATCCAGCCTTCCAGCTCCTTTCATAATCCGAGTGCTGCTGACATTAGAAACCCCACGTGGCTCTTCTAAAATCCTCCCCAATCAATACAGGCAGTACGTAACTTATCACAGACAGCCCCGAGCTCATTGATTAAGTTTGGGTTCTGCAGCAAAGCTCCCCAAGCCCTTTGTGTCACCCTGGAGCTCCTACACACCCAGGAGAGGGGCTGGGGAGCGTCTGGGAACACACACAACACACACTGGGCTTGTGTCCCAAACCATCTATTGACATGGAATCCTAGGAAAGCTCAACAGTGCTGGAAAATGGGCATCTGCACTGCTGTATTTAATATGCAAGCTGTAGCTTAAATCCTGCTTATTTTGAAACCTTTCACCGTATGCTCCCACTTCCAAATCAGCAGAACAACTTCAGATTCTCTTAAATATAACTCTTTATTCCTCCTGTTCAAATGAACATCGGGAACAGATATCCCCTGTGCAGCTACAACTAAATAACAGTGCCCTGATAAATGATGTGCAAACGGCTGGGTTGGAGAAGGGGCTGCTGCAAAGCATCTCCTCTTACAAAGAGACACCAGACATGCACAGGGAACAGGAAGTGTAAGAGGAAGCTGGACAGAAAAGAAATTAAAATACGGGCAGAGATCTGTGAAAAACAAGGAATGATTAAGGCAAGACACTCAAATATGGATGTGAGTCAGAGCAGGGAAAGAACACACCACACAGACCAACAGGTTGGGAACCTGTATTTGGAAGCCTATTGGGAAACCTGAGGAAAATCTGGATGAAATGGAAAAGACTACCCAGAGTACAAACTGGGCCTGGAGCTGTGGATCATGGAGGGAGGGGAAGGAAGCAACCCCCAAACCCCACAACTGCGTGTTACAGAGAGGGGAGCACAGCAAAGAGCAGTTTTCCATGGAGAGAGGAGGTGGCTCCGTGATGAAAAAGGTGGATGCTCGTTTATTCCCTCGGCCTTAAAGCAGAGGTGAAGCACAGCTGAGGCTGCTGAAAGTGAAACACTAAACAGAGAGGCTGGAAACACAGTTTTCATCTTATCCAGCTTGAAAGAGCATCTGAATCCAGGAAACAAGCATGGAACCCTCCCTCTTCCATGGAGGGACACCAAGAGAGTTCCCACATGCCAACAGAAGGATGGAGAATGGAGGAGAAACTGGAGAACAAGGAGAGAGGGACAACCAGCCTGCTGGGATCAGGGAATGTAAGAGCAGGGAATAGGATACCGACTTGACCAGTGAGAAACTACAGGTGATTTTATTCCTCCTCTGAAAAACAACAAATTTAAACCCTACAAAAATGTTAATGTAGCATTAAAAAGTGCTAAGGCATCAACTGAAGCAAAATATTGCCCAGTTAAATTTGGGTTGTACGTTAATCTGTTTTATACCCATAGAATTGTAAACTGCTCTTAGATTGAATTAATCTTTTTGAATCATTTAAGCCAACAATTAATTAAATCATCACTGCAAGGGAATAACAGATTTAAGAATTCAAAAATGTTGTCAGTGTGCCCAAATAACCAACTTAAACCTGACAACAATTCTGTGTAAAGCCCAAAGGGTGGTGAAAGCAAAGGAACAGAACCATCAGAACAGCATCAGTTCTGTCGGCCGTGCAGGGCTGGTCAGACATTCCCAGACATCTTCCTAGGAAAGGGAACAGCTTTCTGCACAACAACAACAACCACCTCAATGGGATAACTTCAAACATTTCACAAAGCAACTGCTCAAAATTTTACTTGTAGAATATAAACAGAAGGAATCAATGGTGGCACAGAAAATTCAACCTCTGTAACTCGCCCACAGCTCGGAGTGACAAACAGGGATCATTCCAGCTCCTGTTCTGGAAGTTTAAACTTGGATTTGCATTTATTATTGGTGCCAGTTTATATTACCTCACATCAAATTTTCCCAAGGTTATTATTACAGAGCATT